GCCAGCTTGGTAGACCCGAGCAATGGAACGACTAAAAACTTCAGCCGCTATATCAAAAAGGAAGGGAGAAAGGGGATCTCCTTGCCTGAGACCCCTAGATGAGGGGAAGTAGCCTACAGTGGCTCCATTAAGGAGAATGGAAAAGTGAGGGTTCGAGTAGCAGCTCTTCATCCATTTCCTCCATCTCTTCCAAAAACCCATTCTGGCCATAGTCGCGACCAAAACTGACCAATCCACATGGTCATATGCCTTCTCCCAGTCAATTTTGAAGATGAGGTCTGGTTGTTTTGAAATGTGTCTCAAATGGACGCATTCGTGGGCCACAAGAACCCCATTCAGAATTTGTCTACCTTTGATGAAGGTAGATTGTGAGTTAAAGATGATAGAAGGCAAAACATGTTGCAATCTTGACGCTAAACCTTGCCAGTGTAGGAGGAGTTGAGGAGACTGATAGGCTGAAAGTCTTTAATTTCCTCAACTCCTTCTTTTTTGGGCACTAGGGCTAGGAAAGTGGCATTCATGGCATTATTTAGAATGCCCCTATGGAAGAATTCCTCGAAAAATTTGACGAAGTTCTGGCTGACTATGTCCCAATACGCCTTGAAGGGGGCAATCGGGAAGCCCTCAGGCCTTGGGGCCTTGTCGCTTGCTAGAGCTTTGACTGCTTTAAGAATCTCAGGTTCAGAAAAAAGTCACTCTAGCCAAGCTGCTTGGCCTTCATTGAGAGAAAGGAAGTCTTAAGGTCGAGAATCTGGGTCTAGGTTCAGAGGGAGCAGAGTATAAGTTCTGAAATGTCTAGGATGGCTTGTTGAATATCACCAGCTTGGGTAAGGTAAGAATTGTTGACTTTTATCGTCGAGATAGCGTTGTCTCTACAACGACAGTTTGCTATTTGATGGAAAAAGCCAGTGTTATGATCCCTTGCTTTCAACCACGAAACTCTAGATCTCTGAAACCAAAAGATTTCTTCTTTTTTCAGTGTGGCAAGATACTCCATCTTTGTCTTAGACCTAAGATCTTGTTCTGAGATGTCTAAGGGTTTGGTCTCTTCAATTTTGTCAAGGCTCTTGATGTTTTCCAGTAAGGAGGACTTTACTTGTGTGAAATTCTCAGGGATGGTTCTTCTCCAAGATTTGAGAGCTCCTTTGAGAAGCTGAATTTTCCTTTGAAGGATAAATCCCGCTCTCCCCCACATTGAGAATCAAAGGAAGTCCACCAAGATTTAACAAGGGCTGGGAGGTCCTTCTCAAGAAGCAAATGCAATTCGAAATGAAAGGGTGGGGGCCCCCTATTAATGGCATTTGTATCGAGAAGGATGGGATAGTGGTCCGAAGTAGGTTTGGGTAGGGCGAACGATTGCGATTTAGGGAAAAATTCCTCCCAGTTTGCTGAAATCAAGCACCTATCAAGTTTAGAGAGGGTGGGGTTAGAACTGTGGTTGGACCAATTGTAATTGCAGCCTTGGAGAGGGATATCAATCAGCTGATTACGGTTAATAAAATATGAGAAATCCCTCATTTCTTTGGTGATAGAAAACGAGGAGTTCCTCTCATGGGACAAGCGGACCACATTAAAATCTCCCCCCACACACCAAACGGGATGTGGAAGGGAGGCTATGCGATCCAACTCAGCCCACAATCTTTGTCTGAAGTTATTTGAATTGGGGCCATAAGCAGCCGAAAATTTCCAGGGGGTTCCATCTGAAATATTAGAAAGAAGGAGGGTAATAGAAAATTCCCTTATGAAATGTGAGAGGAGAGAAAGGTCTCATGGGTCCCAGATCACCCATATAGCTCTTGAGGCTCCAACAAACGGCAGAGAGACCCACTAACAAGGTCCCCTACCCCAGAGCTGACGAACAAGCTGTAGGTCAGGTTCTGGTTGTTTGGTTTCAAGACGGGCCATAATAGTTGGGGAGTGTTTCAGGGTAAAGGCTTTGACTACGTCTTTCTTAGAGTCTTGACCAAGGCCTCTAATATTCCAAATGAGCAGGTTCATTTGTGTCCGGTGAAAGCTGGGGAGGAGGATAGTCTAAGGGACCTCCTTGGGCGACCAAGAATGGATGGGGAAGGGCTGAAATCAGTCACTTTCCCAGGGAAGGGAAAGGAAGAGAAAAGGTTGCGTAGCTTTCTTTGGCCTTTGATTCTTACTTGCAATCTGCCATCTGCGCCTGCCGTGATGAACCTGTGAGCAGGTCCTTCAGGTCCATTGTGCTCAAAACCCATAATCCTGTACATAGTTCTCATCCTATCATCAGATGGATTAGATCTGTCTTCTGGATTTTTTTCTGCGTCCTTGGCACCCTGAGGCCTAGGTTCACCGAGAGTTTCATCGGATGAGACAAGGGTCTGGGCCGCTTGGTCAAGGTCAGAGGGTAGGGTTGGGAGGGAAGGGGAGCTCGAGCTAGTACGAATGGGAGGAGAGAAGGGCAGCACAGGGTCAGAGACAAGAGGCGAAGGAAGGAGGGGTTGACCGGGGGAACAATTCAGAACAGGGGAAGGAGGAGAGTTAACAACTGGGCTGTTCTCTAGATATTAAACATGATGATTAGTGGGGAGAGCCGAGAAAGGGGTAGATATAATCAGTAGGAAGGAGATGGTAGGAACATAGGTCAGGAATTGGTAAGTCTAAATGGAGGTGTAAGAGGACAGGGAGTAAGGGGAGTTTGGGGGCCAAACATAGTGGATGGTCTGGGTTCTATGGATATAAACAAGGTGAGGAGTAAAGAAAAGGTGGGGGGCCAGGATGTCAGCGACTGAGGCTGGATCGAGAGGGGAGGGGTCCAGCGAAAGGGCGGTGACGATGCCAATTGGGAGGAAGTCGTTATCCATCTTTAGTGTTGGGAAAGGCTTGGAGCCCTCGGGAGAGAGGGAGTCATGGTTAAATGGGTAGAAAGAAAGAGAGAGGAAGGTAGGGTGAAGATGAGAGCCAGCCGACCAGGCAGCAGGTTGGGGTGAAACAAAGCTAGGTTCGAGGCCTGCAACCCCTCAGAGTCGATGGATGAGAAGGAAATTGGAAGGGTAACAGGCCTAGGTCCAGGGTGAGGTGGTAGAGAGGAGGGAGAGACAGGGGAGGAGACGGGTGGAGTAATCGAGCCTCTAGATGAGTTCTCCGCAGGGGGTTCATCAGAGCTATTAGGCGGAGCCTTCTCGAACATAGGCTGAATGAAGGCCAGCTGGCTGGGGTCAAGCGGCAGAAGATCGTTGGGATCAAACATGCCATTAACAGCGGGTAGCGGGCCCTCCTTTAGGGGATGAGAGTGGGGAAGGGCTGGGAAAGGCGGGTCGGGCTGAGGCTTGCCACCAAGAGGGAAAGGACATGGGGTAGGTGAGGGGTCATAAAAGCCGGAAGTAGAGACCTGGGGAGAGAGGGTGAGGGAGTAGTTAGAAGCGGGGACAGGTGGAAGGCCTTAGCTTGATCCCTCTGCTGCGTAGAGCCATATGACGCCACGCGGGAGGAGGCAGGCGGCTGGGGCGGCCGCATGGGTTCCAAGGCATGCGACAGATGTGAGGGGGTAGGTGAGGGAGTGGGGCACGTGGAAGTCCCAGGAGAGGAGAAAGGGGCAATGTGAGAGGGGGAGAAGAGAGGAGAGGGGTAGGATGGGTCGGGTAGAGGGGATGACTCGGAGACTTGCGAGGGCAAAAGGAGGGGAAGGGAGGACGATGGGCTGAGTTGGTCGCTTGATCCCGGAGAGTTTTGAGGCGTGATGTCCACGACAACCTCTTTCCCGGGGCGTCGATTCAAATCGACGGCATCTTTCACGTCGTCGAAAGGACTCGGATAGCGCGCCGAGTCCAACACCAGTTCTTGGGAGGTAAGCGAGTCAAACCGAGTTTGGCCGCCCTGTGAATCCCTCACCAAGAAAGCAGAGGGTTCCCTAGCTGTTTTCTGAGAAGGATTCGGCCGGCGGGGATGCCAAGCTTGCGGATGCAGCATTTCAGGGGGTCTCCGACGAGGTCTCAAACGCTTGTGTTTCTTCTTAGTCACCACCACCCATTGGTGAGATGAGGTAGCCGGAAGAGAATCCCCGATAGGTTGGTTGAAGGAAATCGGGCAAGGGAGGCGAAGCAGAGGACCAAGAGAGCGAAATAGGGTAGAAGAGTTCAGTGATGTCTAGCCAAAGCGTTCTTGAAATCTTTGTGGTGTCCAGAACCTCGACCAAGAGGCGAATGGAGTCCAAAGGCAGGGACTCCAGCGAGATCCAATGGATGGAGACTAGGGTACCACAGGATGCCGCCAATCTCTTAAAGGTTTCTGGATACCAAGCGTGCAACGGGATATGATGGAGGGTAAACCGAGGGGTTTTTTCCCTCACCCGAGGGGTTTTTTCAACGGGATACCAAACATTACATTTTTTACCCTCACCCGAGGGGTTTTTTCAGTCGCCCACAAGTTGTCATAGGGCAGCGCCTAGGCGGGCGCCCAGAAAAAAAACGCATAATGCCCCCCCCCAAAATGCGCCTAGGCGTTTTTAACATTTTTTGGCCTAGGCAGTCGGGTGGCTGAATTTTCGAACATTGCTTGTGTGATATAGAAATTTTCAGTTTGCAGCTGAAATTTTACAGTTAGATGGCAAAAACCGTTTCTCTATCAACTGTTTTTTTTCTTATATGATCTATTTACTTATGTTTATTTTTTATAGAAATATAAGTAAACTACTTCTATGAAAGTTCACATCTGGTTATACATTATTCATGTTGTATTTTTTGGGATAATGTTTCTTTAAAATGTGAATTTTAATGATCAATTCCCTCAAACGTTATGCAAATGCAAACCTAAAAGTGGTTGGAGGCTTGTGCTTTCGTTGACACTGAATAACTATAACCGACCATTCTACAGTCATTGTAACTGATATTAATTGGATTTTAGGACATCAAGTTCATCAGAATAATCTAGATGTATGTACTTTACATATATAGCCTTGGTGGTGTGTCCCCTATTTGTTTAATAACTCTCACTCAGATAGGACTTCAATGAGATCTTTGTGTTACTTCTTTCAGGCTCACAAGGAATATCAAGATAATCAGGTGAATGCATTTGTTTGTGATGCTACAACAGATGACCTCAGTGACAATATATTGCCATCTTCAGTTGACATCGTAACCATGGTACCTGGGCATGCCCATTATTGATTATAAGTACATTTTTTAACTATTAGATTCAAATCCATATTTCACTTTTCTTTCTGCGCAGTACATGGTTATATTGACCCTAAAATAAGAAAATATTGTAGACTTCAGTTACTATATATTTGGTTATATCTAGGAGGATAAATCTATATGCGCAGCACTCTTACATGTTAAGCAGATTTTTACATTGTCTGCAGTTTCTCCGGAGAAGATGCCTTTGGTATTATCAAATATTAGAAAAGTTCTGAAGGTGATACTTCTGTAAGACTAGCAGTGAGATGCGCTAACAGTAACCATGTTTCATTTCTTTATTCATCAAGGCTCATATTGGTATTCTGTGAACTTATCTTACTGAAATGTTTTATGTTTTCCAGCCAAATGGTATTTTGCTACTCCGAGATTATGCTGTGGGGGATCTTGCTCAGGTTAGTACACATTCGAGATAAATAAGAGGTCAATATGTAGCATTCAAAAGTGTTTAGCTATTAACAGTACTGTACAACAACCAAACGTATATGATGCCCCATATCCCACCCATCTTTAAGTATATATGCATTATTCATCCAATTTACAGGAAAGACTCCGCAGTAAAGATCAAAAGATCAGCGAGAATTTCTATGTCAGAGGGGATGGCACTGTAAGTCTTTTGTTGATAACCCTTTGTAATAAAGAAAATGATTATCCATTCACTGGCCACCTATTTAAATATCCTTTTCTATTCTCTAGCGTGCATTTTACTTCTCGGAACATTCCTTGAAGAACTTGTTTGAAGAAAATGGCTTTTGTCCGAAAGATATGAGTATATACTGCAAACAACTGGAAAATCGCTCACGAGAAATAGTGATGAACCGGTATGAACGATTTCTCTCTTTCTTCTTTGCATCTGATGCCATTTGCATCTGATGTGCTTTGATGCATACTCTTTTTATTAATCTTTGGTAAGTCAACTTTCACAATAAAAATTATGTATCAGTATGAACATTTTCAGGATTTTATATCATTTCTCCTGCTAATATGAGAAAGTAATAAAATATAATGTTAGATGAGTTAAATCATGTTCTGGAATTTGGATCCCATTTTTCATTTCATGCAAAAATGCTTATAGACTTGTTTTCCCTTTGCTTTTTGTATTCCATGCATAACAAGCTGAGTCTACATAAGCAAGCCCTAAACTTGCTTGTTAAGTTTCTAAACGATGGTACGTACTATACATACTGTATTTTTTGGTTATATTAGTAGTTAGTTGATGATATGTTCTCTCTATATGGGTATAATTTAAAATAATGTTTTGCGAGTGTGTCATTCATTTCCAAGTCTACCACATGCACTTTAAGTACATTTCAGAAGCATGTAAATATATCAAGAAAATTGCCATATACGAAATTGAAGTAATTGTGAAGGTGTGTATATTGTGTGTATTTGTGCATGTGCGTGTGTATCATGAGAAAAAGAAAGAGGTTCAGAGAGAGGGTATCACGTCGAAGCAAAAAGAAGAGAAGATAGGGAGTCATGTCTGGTTCTAATCTAACCCACACACCCCTTTCTTCTAATATATATATCATTAATTTTTACTTGGCCCACACTGTTGTCCTTTTAGTGAGGGAAAAGACACACTAGTCCTTAGTTATTAAATACACTAGGAAAAGAGTATAAACTTTGACATTCACAATACTCCACCTCAAGCTGTTGCATAGCTATCCCTCATGTCCAGCTTGCTTAGGATCACATGTAGTCGAGATTTTCAATGGTCTTGGTAAGAATATCTGCTACCTGGTCTTCAGTTTTCACATATGGAAGGCAAATTTCTTTCGTGGCAACTCTTTCTAGAATGAAATGTTGGTTACCTCTATAGGCTTGATTCTATCATGTTGGATCGGATCGTGAGCTATATAAATTAGCTGCTTGGTCATCACAATTCAAGGACATGGACCTCTATACAAGAAAACCAAGCTCATGTAATATGATTTTTAACCACAACAATTCACTTCCACCATGAGCCATGGATAGATAGTTCGATACCATGCTTCTGCACTTGAAGGAGCCACAACTGACTGTTTTTTACTCCTCCCAAGTCACGAGGTTAGCCCCATCCAGAGTACAGTAGCGTGATGTGGATCTGCAGTCCACACTAGAACCAGCCTAAGATGCATCTATGTAAGCCCCAACTCATAAGCATGTATGATTAGCAAGCTATGGCCCTTTACTTGGTAATGATTTTAAATATCTAAGAACGCTATAAGTAGCATCAAGATGAGTAGTTTGTGGAGTGTGCATGAACTAACTAAGCACACTCACAGCTATGCCCTGTCGTGATGTGCAAGTTAAAGATTTATCAACCTACCTGCTGATCTTTGGAACACTACATCTTTGAGAGCTTCACCCCTTTGGTCATCTAGTTTGTGTTTTTCTTTCATAGGAATGTTTGAAACCAAGCTTTCTTATTCTTTGTGAATGTCCAACACATTCTTCCTTTGAGAGATAAAGGTTCCCCTCGTAAATGTTGCCATTTCTATAGTACTTCAATAGACCTAGATCCTTAGTTTCAGACTCCTTTGCCAGAAAGCTCGAGTTGCTGGATTTCCTTAGAACAATTGCCTATTACAATGATATCATCCACCTATACAATCTGGGGTATGACTTTGGTCTTTTTTTAGAAACAAGATATGGTGTGTATGACTCTATGTATACTCAATTCTTTGAACAACACCACTGATCCTCTCAAATCAAGCTCAAGGACAATGCTTTAGTCCATAAATGGCCTTTTTAAATCTACAAACTTTTCCCTCATGTCTAGTGGCTCTAACTCAAGTGGAGGTATCACATATGCTTCTTTCTGTAGTTCCCCATGAAAGAATGCATCCTTGACTAACAGTTGTTAAGCGGCCAGTCCAAGTTAGTTGCCAGATCCAAGGTTGAAAACGTTGGCTGCCCGGCTGCCTAAGTGGCTTGGCTGACAAACCGCCTAGGTGGTGGGTCCTAAGGGGGCATGTCAAGGCGCCCCCACCTAGGTGCCCTTGACCGAGGGCAGAAAATGGCCCTCGGGCAAGGGCATTTTTTGGGTAATTTTTAAAAGGTAGGGGGCATTCTTTCCCCCAAAATCCTTGTGGTGAGTTTTAGAGAGAGAAAAACTCTCTAAAAACATAGATTTGTAGATTTTTCAAAAGATCTTAATTATTTTTAACCTCCTTGAGTCCTTGCAAAATCAAAGATATTCATCCCGAATCATTTTGAAGCCTAGAGTGGCTGCAATAGAGGACTTTGGGGAACCAAAAGTTACCAATTTGGGTCATATCGATTCCATTTTGAGAAGGTGGTGTATTGCAATACTTTTAATTAGGGTCATGAATTTTTTGTGTAAAAGATATTATGATATGTTATTCCTTCCTTTTTTTTATATATATTTTTAATAGTTTGTATTTGGAATAATCTCCCATTTTGATTTTTAGTTTCGGACAGCAATTCAATGAAAAAGTTCATTGCCCCCAAACCAAATAATTGTTTTATTTTTTGCATGAGTTAGTTGACTTGCATGATTCATAATTTTGCCCCCCATATCTAGCTTTAAATCATTGCCCTATTTATGAGTATGGTTTACTTTGATATTATTTGTGATTTTTAGATCGAGGAACCAAATCATTGGGAAAAGTCCATTGGTTCCAAACCTATTTAATACTTTTTTGTTGCATGGCTTAGTTTACATGCGTGATTCGTGATTTGTTTTTTCGATTTTATGCTTTAAATGATTGTAATTCTGATGTGCAGGTTTTTACCTTGAGTTTTTTGACATTATTTAAGTCCCTCCCCTCTCCCTCCCCCCCGAGTATGCTAGCTTTACTTCTTCCTTGGATTGTCAAGATATTGAGAAGGGGCAATATTTTTAGGGAAATTTATATACAGACCGGTTTTTAGTCCTGTTATAATGAAATGGCTCGAAATATATAAGGCAATGAATAACGTGAACAAGCTTTAAATATATAAGCACAATGAATAACTATAAAAACTTACATTTCCCAAATACAGAGGCTCGACGAGAATATGCAACAACAAGACTTTAATTGCTAATCTTAACTACTTGAACTACAAGAGGAATCACACATATACTTAAGCACTCATTAATCTATCACACATTTACAGACTCAGAAAAAGGGAAGCTGGATGGTTGGATATACCTCCAGATATATCCACTAAGAGAGGAAGAAAAGGACGCAAAAAGGATGCCCTGTAAACAACTCAGCTTCTTTTTCTTATAGTCAGAGGAGTTAGGCGGATTTGAAATCTCTTTGAAATCTCTTTGAAATCCGCACCGACGATGCTTATCTGCTTTAGTCAGCTTTTTATAGTGGCTACAGTAAAAAGTAGATTCTGTTGGTGATGGCTTCAGTAGAAAGTAGATTCTGTCGGTGATGGCTACAGTAGAAAGTTGGTTCTGTCGGTGAAGGGACAGGTGTCCTGGATATGGCTGGAGTCGTCCAGGTCCCTCTGTGAATTTTCTTTATTTTGAAGAAAATTCAATGCCTGCACAGTCATCACCGCTCATTGGACTGTAGTCTTCTTCTTCATCACTCTGAGTAGAGGTGGACATTTTTTCATTGCCTTCTATAGCACTCCGGAGCTTCCTTTTAAGCTCTTTAGATAGTTTAGGGTTTGTTGCTGTAATATTGCAACATATTCTGCTATTTCCATTTTTTCTTTTCGAGATGAAACTGAATGTATACGTTTCATTTTTATTTTGTCTGGACTGAGGGATTCATTTTTATAATTGTCCCACCATTTGATGTATATTTGTCTCCTTAATTCGGGAATATAATCCCCCCTATCCATAGGATCTTCTGAGATTTGATAATCTTATTTTAAAATCCACGGGACCTGATATAAGGTCATAAAATATATATGAGTCTCTTTTAAGACTTTGACTATTGTAATCAGAGAATTTTCTTTGTGAAATTTGTAGATTGTAGGTAGAATTTGGCTTGATGATCCCCATATAGAGAACCAATTTTTAAACCAATTGGAAAACTCATTTGGCTCAGTTAATTTAAACGGAATATATCAGCTATGTGAATTTTTCGTATTTTGGTATGCAAAAACTTCATCCCAAGCTTTTATATATTCGAAGTAGTGATAGGATTTGATTTTAAATCCTTTCGTATTGGTGATCCTTGGTTTTAAAGGATCTAGTCCCCATTCTTGGTAAGAAATAACCTTTTTGATTTGGAATTTGGAGTATGCTATTTCTGTATCATTATTTCGATACTGGTGTACTATAAATACTGAACCTGTTTCCGTAAGGATATTTTCATACCATTCCTTGCATCTTTCATTCATATTGGGATGCATGTATTGCCTTAATATATGGCAGCTATTTTAGTCGGGTTTTTCGACTGGTGGTCATTTTCTATGATCAGCAAAGGAATATATGCTGTTTCCAAATATGTGGTTTTAGTATTAGGAGTTTTGAGTACTTATTGATGTTTGAAGGGGAGATATATCAATATCTTGTATTTGCCTTCTTATTAAAGCGTTTGATGTTGATGGTGATGCTAGGGTTTTCCCCAAGCTAGGGATTTTCCATCGGTCGCTTTTGATGATTCCTTCTGCTCTCCCTGCAAAAATTCTTGTGTTACAAAATCAGGCAAATAATTAGTATTACCATTAATATATTTTGTAGTAAATTCAAAAGCAGAGAGAATACCTTGCCATCTTGCGAAACGAGGTTTTTTACATCTTTCTGAAGAATATCCCTGGCTGCTTTACAGTCAGTTCGTATAAGGAATGACTGGTTAAACAGATCACTCCGGAATTTTGTGACAGCATGGACAATAGCAAATATCTCCTTTTTCACTGTTGAATA